GCAGTCAGGCCAGGCCTGTCATTACACACTCTGTTGGTTTGTTTGCTTTTTCGTGACTGCATCCATAGGAGGCCTAGGGTGAAGATTCAGTGTGACTGCTGTGCTGTAAGCAGCAGACTGACTCAGCAAATAACTGCCGTTTCTAGTAGGTTTCATTTATTCTACAAAATGAAACGATGGACAATTTTACAATGTCTCAAAGAAATGAAGAGACAAAGTATCTACATTCAGGAACGTGGTGTTTGTAGCAGCAGTCTACTGATAGGTGTGATTAGCATTTACCACCATAACCTCCAATCAATTCTATTTCTTATTTCTTTATTAAATACTGTATATTTAATATCTATTTGTTCATTATATTCCAGATATTTTTAAGTCATTAAACCCATTAAATACACAGTATTTAAGTAAATTAAAATATTCTATATTTTTAAAACAATCCATATATATCAATATATATTTAAACCCCCCACATTTTCTTATTCCTATGTATGACCCAATTTTATTGTGACAGTCGGTAAAATTGTATCTTATCTTCTGGGCAGAGCATAAGCAATCAAATAGTTCTCACTCAGAAACCTGAATTGTCTGTAACTGCAGAAAGATTTTCAGTGGGTTCTCACCCTATTTACAGCAGTGGCTGTCCTGTTTAATGGAACCTATTTTGTTGCAGAACCAGAACTGAAGTGATACAGTGAGGTTCCAGTAAACCAGCAGGAGCTAAAAGCTCCCGGCAAGATCCTGGTCACACTGGCAGCAACACAGTCAGAAAGACACATGCATCTGTTGTATGAGCTGAGCTGAGCTGCAGAAAAGCCGATGCATGGTTACTGGCTGGAAAAAGGTTTCTTACAGCACATTCTGTGATTCCACATTTTTAGGAACATTAATATCCTAGCCTGGAGAATGGGAGCATCCAGGGCTAGGTTTACAATTAATCTGACATATTTGTTGTCACTCTGTTTTCTACTAATGCTGCCTAATTATTCTAATTAACACATATTATATATGTGTATAATATAATAGTGTTATATACTGTATACAAAACAAGTCAAAAATGTGATTTGTCAGTTCAAGACTATGAAACTTCAGTTCCCTACTACAATATTAAGCCTCACTCATTTTCCACAGTTGGGAAAATAAAGCCGACCAACTTTCTGACAAACATGAACTTACCAGAGGAAACATTGATGGTCCTGACATCCTCTCCCAGCTTGTTACTGACACTGCAGCTGACAGTCAGGTTCACCTCAGGGATTACAGTGATTGTATGGGTGGCCTTGCCATCACTGTAGGAACTCTCCTCCTGCAGGAACAGCAGAAAGACACTCACAGGAATAAGAGGAAATAAGAGGCATATAAATTAGCTGCACACATAATCAGCTTCATCATTCTGCAGGATAATTTGTATATTGCTTGACAGGTGAGGAGCAGTGGGATGGTGTGAAGACAGAAAGCACAAGATATAGTAACTGACATCAGACAGGGAGCTGAAGCCTGCCGATACGCCACGTCTGACAGTAAAAGGTAAACTGTAAACTCATTCTCAGTGCTGAGGGAAACAAAACTTTCTTTGCCAACACACCTGATTCAACATGATGGGGCCTGTGGTAGTTATCACAGAACATCTTTAAAGATACGTCATTAATTAGAGTAAATCATATAGCGGACTGCTCCTGAATGTTACTCGCTCAGTGTGGAAAGCTTGTCATAGGTTTATGGTTCTCCCTCACTGTGGCATTATGTGCAAAACGGTTGGCATTTCCACTGTCTTAAAGTCAGGGCCAAAACATTCCTTCACTGCACCACCATGATTGATTATGTTCTGATGAGATACTGTTTACTGTTGCTCTCTAATCAAAAACATGTAAATTTGCTGATTCTGAATGTTTAAACTAAAGAATTAAGTGCACCTTTAGGAGTTAAAAATATCCTCCTTTTCCATGGATTAAAAACATTTAAAACACCTCAGGATTATCTAACAATGTCACACAGCAGAATGTTAGGTTGCTGTGTCTCATGAAAAGTTGCCATCACCTACTCTACAGCAACTGACAGTTTACAGCATTCACAACAACACATCACAATGGAAATGAGTGAAAACCTCTAAAGCTCTCTTTACTTTAAAGCAAGAACAAAGCGGACTCTGGCGATCATCCAGGTACACTTTAATCACACCCACACTGCACTGTTTGCTGCTTCACTTCACTGAGCTTTTGCAGCAGCATTTTGTCCCATCAGCAGCCTAACTTAACACATCTTTGCTTTTAAGATACTAAATATGCACACACATACACATTTGTGGTCCAACACTTACACTTGTGCTATTGATGCTCCACTGGAAACTGGGCTCTGGCACTCCTTCAGCTTCACAAGTTAGAACTTTGTGCTTGGCATCACTAGAACGCTGTTTGGTTAGGCTGGTGATCATAGGCTTCCCTGAGCAAACACAGGATGTTCTCACTGACACAGTAACATTTTATCACACACAAAAAATGAATGATGTACACTGGGTTCACAAAATGTTATGACCTCCGGCTTTTTCCAGAAAAACAGATGGAATTCAGGTAAAAGCAGGCAGCTCTTTCTGATTTCAACTATGGAATGTGCTTCAGCTATTTCAGTTCAGTTAGACACCAGGCAGCGTGTTTCAAAGTGGGTGTTCAATGTACCACTCATTTCAGCCAACAGAGGAGTTGACGGTGACACACACTTCCTCACCTTCTACGACCAGTTCGAAGCGCTGACGTCGTATGAGGCCTGTCACGGAAACCTCACAGAAGTAGACTCCTGCATCAGCATAGGTCAGCTTGCTAAACTCTGGCTCATTCACAGGCTTTCCATTCTGAAAACCAGTGTGACAATGTCAGTCTGTTTTATAAAACAAAGTGTACATAAAACAATAGAAATACACCGACTCCTTTCACCTATCCAGCTGCTCTCCCAGCTGACTGTACAAACAACATCCTATAAATGTATGAATGCAAGATGTCGGTTTCATCTATCCATCTGTTTTCTACACCCACTTCTGCTGTTCGGGGTTGCACAGATGCACATTTCAGGATGTGGAAATTCTGCATCCATTATGTGAAGCTACATGATACTGTACTGTATATAGTCTTCAGTGTTTCATGACTGGCATTACCTACAGTATATTCCACATCTGCTGCTGCAATGATCCAAACTCAAGAATCATCTTATTTCTTGGTGGTTTATACTTGTCTGAATTTACCCAATATGTCACTAGGATGGTGCATCAGTGGTCCAGCGGCAGCTTTCCCACTTGCCACACATGCAGCTGTGGCTCACTTCCTGGCCAGTGCACTACACCCAGCCACTAGGGTTGCACAAGCTAGGAAGTGTGAAAACCTGTGCCAAATCACATATGAGGATCCTGGTTTCTGTATCTATGGAGACAGATCATTCAACTGTGGCGAGCCCTAATGAGAGCAGCCAAGAAGAAAGAAATCATATATTGTTGTTGAAGGAGAAATCATCAGTGTTCTACCACTGATCACAGTGTAAGAGCTCTGAGTGAGTTTCTGCAGTCAGATTTGATTACTAGCTGAAACGATGGTGGAAACGTAGACAAACTATTTAATATCCTCCAGTATTCCATTACCATTTCTCTTTGATCACCAACCCAACCCCAGCATCAGTTACCTTTGTCCAAGATATTCTGGGATCACTTGAGGTGCTCTTGTCCACCTTCACAGACAAGGTGTCCCCTACTATCTTCACAACCTTCCCAGTGGGACTCAAATTCAGGTCCAGGTCTGAAAAAACAAGACAGAAAAGTGATGGTTCTGTTGAGTCATATCAGTTACCTGAAGGTGAGCACAATGCCCATTTATTTAGCAGACAACAAAGCCGTAATGATGGAGTAACACTGAAGGGGACTCATTCTCTACAGAGAGGTCAGCTGTCATGTCTGAGGAGCCAAATGAGTATTTGTGATTTAGCATGAGCTAATAACATATATTTAGCCCCTTTCTTATACAGGATAGGTCAGCTGTAATGAACAAGACTAAGCTGTGTGAGAGTGTGACGCATCTGACAGTATGTGAGTGTGTTTGGTAGAGCACCAACGTGTAGGTAAAGGCTTATGTTGTGACATTGTGCAGCTTCAGCTGGTGATGTTATATATTTTTCCCAATCCTCCGCCTGCTGCCAAAAATACTCACTAGCACCAAATGTGGACTAACCCACTGCTGAAAAAGGTCCAAACATAAGTTCTGTTTCCTCCTGCTGGAATCAGGTTTGTGGAAAAACGTCAGTTGCCAAATGACTCCGCAAATTACTGAGTCTGCATGTAACTGTGAGCTACTGTTAAAGATTCACATTATCAGTAGGAACAAATAAGCTGGGAATTTCATGACGATAACAAAAAATATTTGCCAGAATCACTGGTGCTTCATTGGTACATAATCAGCATGTCAGGCTCAGGTTTCACAGTCCAGTACAGCCCATTGATGACACGATACCCGTCAGAGGACACTGACGTTACTACCAGCCAGTCAGCTGGAGCAACAGCAACTTTACTTTTCTACAAGGACACGTTCTTGAGACACACAGAAATACACACTCACAACAATACCTAACAAATAACATTTTTTTTTATTTAGAGAGCTATTGTTTTTCTTCCCTCAGTCACAAACTCAATTTAAAGTTGAGGGCTGAAAAAACTTGTTTTAGATGTGTGAAATGTACTAAAGTTGCAATATGAGAAACAGAGGAGGTAAAATGTGTTAGACTTGTTTTTTATTACAGTCATAGGGCCCTTTTGAACTGAAGGCTCAGAAACATACAACTTGAAAGAAGGGAGTAATTACTTAAGGGAATGCTGGTGGATGGTAGGAAGGAATAACAGCTTATCAGTCGCTTGAGGTCCTCTTTCACTGAACACACTTTTGCTCACTCAGTGTTAGAAATGAGCTCCCCTCCTCCCTGCCTGCCACTCCACACATTGCCTCCTTGTCAAACTGGGCTCTCAAAGTTGAAATATGATTACCATGATTCTGATGACACTTATGCTGCATTTCCACTATTGGAACCTAACAAGCGGTATACCCGGTACTGACGCAAACTGTCCTGCTTTGTTTTTCCACTGTATTGTCTCTGTGTTGGTCTCAGTTTAGAGGAGGGTGGGGCTATTCCCCTCTCACGCAGGCTGAGCAGAGGGAGAGCAGACATCACTCCATAGTGCACAGCTGTCACACAAGCTGAACACAAACTTGCAACAATGTGACATCTTCACGGCTTTGCCCATGTCCTGAAGTCCTCGTTTCACCTCTAAACCAGTGTAAGTGCCTCTTTACACACTGTGCTTGTAATGTATGAAGAGGAGACATTTAACCAATTACGGGCAACTGCTCTGCACATACACACCCCCTCCCCGAGCATGGTCCTGGTACTTGATTTTAGTACTATCCACTGAGGGGTGCTGAAATGTAGCTCCCGGAACACACCTCTAAAGTGGGGGCACAGCGGTGGAAACAAAGTGTGCTCATAAAAAGTTATATATACACTGTAAGATGTTAAGGACAAAACTGGCTTTTTATACAGAAACAAATCTTGACCATCGTGAAATCTATTATGATCACTCTTGATTACTGCGACAGGCACATGCATGCCTGCTCCTCTACCTTAAAGCCTATGTGTATCACAGCCCATTGCACTTCATCACTTCATAGTTACAATAAGATAAATTCTTGCCTTGCTGGTGAGATGGGTCTTCCTTAATCGATTGGAGGGAGTTGCACTGTATGGTATTCATCTCTAGGGCTCTACTGCAAAAATACCTTTGCTCACTGGCCTCATACCAATACAGTTCTTACAATATGAAGTCACAGGATGTTCTAACTAGCTCTATATGTTCAAACCGAGCTTGGAAGAACTGGTTTAGGTACACTGCACCCCTTAAGTAGAATCAGCTTCAGGAAACCTTGAAACTAACATCCCTCATCCCCATCACGGATTTTTAAGAACTGTACTTCTTAGTAATTCTACATGCAGTTGGTTTTCTTAATGTATAACTATTGTAACTGTGTGTGTGAAATGTTCTATGTCACATTTAAACTGCATATGTTAAATTTTGTACACGTCTCTCTTGAAAAAGAGATCACGGCCTCATAGAGGCTACCTGCTTCAGAAAAGGCAAACTGAGGACAACACTTGGAGGTTTTTGTATGTGCTGCAGACGTAACTGCTCTCCGTGTTGTGGTGCAGTTTGCTAAGGCTCTGCATATGTCATGAGTACTCACAGCTAACAGTGATGCTTTGGGAGGCCTCCAGCTTCTCGTTGTCAGTCAGGGAACATTTGTATTCACCTGCAGCGTCTCTGCTGATGGCAGTCAATGTGTAGTTGTCTGAATTTTCCACCTGCATTTTCTGACCCTGGTTAGGAAAGAAGAAGAGGAGCAGAGAGAGGAAGGAGGTGCTATTAGCTTCTGTCATTTTAATATATAATGAGGAAATAAAAGCAAAGGGTGAAAAAGGGAAAGAAGGAAGAAAGTATGTTGACAGGAATAACTTCTTAGAGGAATGCAGGGTAGCACAGCAGACAGCAGCATGCTTCTTGAGGTTGAAGTATGAGCTCTGACTGACCTTGATGTGGAAGAAGAAGGAGCTGGGTGGTGGACTGCCATCAGCGTGACACTTCAGCGTCACGTTATCTCCTTCTATGATAGGGCTCTTGGACAAGATTTGGAGGCTGATGTTCTCAGATGGATCTGAGTTAAGTACAAAGAGAAAAGGGGAATGGAAGAAAAGAACAGTAGCATGAGTGTCAACGATTGATAGACGTTTTCCACTGAGAAATGAATCACCCTGGCAATGTATTATTCATTCATTCATCAAACAGCAGAGATACATACAATAATGACCATCATGTTTCAAATCAATATCAATCTCCTGCAGAATAAACTTGAAAAAAGTCACCTCTTTAGCTTAAAATGTAAACATTGCCCCATGAGCTTTCTCCTGCCAAGGCCAGCCTTGTGATAAGCCTACTTGAAAACAAGGTGGTGTTACTCAAATCCTCAAATTAAACATTGAAATAAATAAAATGCCTCATACCTCAACTCTTACACACCTTCATGTATGTAATCAACAACCAGCTCAGTCCAACACAGGCTGCAACCAGTTCACATGTGGTGAACAGAACGCACACCTTTCCTCCCTTTGAATCATGTTCAGTTTCTATACAGCACTGTATTCTTTAATGTTTTTCATCCTATCAAGTATACAACAAATTCATCTCATGACAAGATAAGCCAGACCTCTCCACAGCAAACAAGACAGGATGTCAAACATCATGGCACAATTTATACAGTACATTCTGTATGTTGTCATGTCCTTACAACACCTGAGGTCCTGTCGTCCTGGGGGCCAAAAATACTGACACCTGTCAGATAACACACCACCTCTCCCAGAAAATTGTTGCAGTCACAAATTCTTTGGTATTCTCATGTTTGTTTATTTTGTTTGCATTGAACAAAAAGCCAAATCTGACCCATTGACACCCTCAACTTAATATTTGGTAGCGCACCCTTTGGACAAAATAACTGAAATCAGTCCCTTCCTGTAATCATCAGTGAGTTTCTTCCTCCTCTCTACTGGAATTTTGGACCACTCTTCTTTTGCCAGCTGCTCCAGGTCTCTCAGATTTGAAGGCTTCCTTCTCCCAGCTGCTGTTCTGAGATCTCTCCACAGGTGATCTATGGGATTTAGATCTAGACTCATTGCTGACCACTTCAGAACTCTACAGCACATTGTCTGAAACCATTTCTGGTGCTT